TTTTAAATATGCCAATCAAAATTTCACAATGTGAAGCTTCTAATTTGGGATCATGAAAGTAAGGGAAATAACCTAGTATCTACTACTTTTTACCTTTCAGGTTTTAACTTTTCAAAGATGAAAAAAAAAAAAAAAGAAGAAGTGTTCTCCTTTACCCTGCCAAAGACACACTCTCTCTCTTCCATTTGACTTTGATTAATGCATAGGAGCAATATAATCTTCCTGTGCTCCTAGGATCTCACTGGGAGTATATTTTTTATTTTGATAAAGAGATGTAATCATTTATAGGTGCTCTAGTTGATTATTGGAGATGCACTGTTTGAACTTTGTTTCCTTTATTTCTTAAAGGTAGAAGCTGGGTTGTATCCTTTGACATAGTTGAAAGAAATAAAATAACCAAGATATATCCCCACTTTTACCAAATTTCACCCTATACCACCTCTCTCCTGAACAGAGACTTTTGCCATGTTACACTATTAAGAGTATCCTCGCCTTTAGCCAGGGTCAAGGAGTAGATATGATTGAAATATGCACACAGGAAAAAAGCCTTAGAAAACAGTCTAATTTTATAATTGTCTCAAGGTAGGTGAAAAACATTTCTAATGTGTTTTATAAGTCAACAGATAAAAAGGATTTGATATTTCAAATCTGGATTTTTTATAAATTAAAAATATATTTATAAGATCCTATAACATCTTCTTAAAAGTAAAATTTGAGGTGATTGGCCAATGAATTGAAATCAGAAATGTGTTTTTCTAATAAACCCCTACTTTTTCTTCTTTATGGGTAGTCTAGTAAGGCTCAGAAGAAAGTTGCCAGTGATTACTGTTAGGTTTGTTCTAGAGAAAGGATTATCTCATATTAGTTCTATTACATTTATGTCTTGGCATTTCTGGATAAGAGACAATAGAAGAAATGCTACTTCATTAAAATCTTCATGTATTAAAAATACATTTCTTCATGTATTAAAAATAAATTTCCAGTTGTAATATTCATATTATGGTCAAATCTCTAAGCACAGTATAACTTGAAGTATGACATTTAGTCTGACAATTAATATAAATCCCTAGATCTACCCATTCCTCCCCACCCTACTATATCTCACCTCAATTTGTTTCCCCTTCCACTTTCCAGGAAAATGGAAATTTAGCACTGGCTAGATAATTTCCAAAACCCAGTGCAATGAAAATATGATATATTTTATTTGAAAATTAAGAATTTCAAAACAACAACAATGGAGCAGTAAATTCAGTGCTCAGAATCCTTGCCAATGTAATAAGGCAAGAAAAAAGAAACAAAAGGCATCCCATCTAGAATGAAGTGGCCCCCATGGATTGCTCCCAATTCTAGAACCCTAGGATTTTATCATTATCTAGAACACAAGGATTAAAAATCCTCTAAGTGAGACAAGGTTTGCCACTTTTTATTTAATTTCATTAAAGTAAAATTATGAAAGCCCAATGTCACACCCATTGCCTTCCAATCTCCCTCTATTTTCTTCTGATGCTTTTACATTTAAGTTTTGCAACTAATCTTGATGCATATTTATACATTGCTTCTCATTAATTATGAGAACACAACTTTGATATTTGAGTAAATGGTAACTATCTTTGGTTACTAACTTTAAGTGGGATCCCTTCTTTCACAGAACAGATTAGACATTAGTTTATTTATCAGAAGACCACAGTTCAGAAAGCACAGTCTGCTTTTGAGGTCTGCTTTTTCATCCTTACCAGCCTTAATTTGCATTAATTTCACCTGTGAAGTACAAGTCTCTGAGTTAGTGAAGTATAAATCTGAAATTAACGCAACAAACTGAAAATGAAGAATAGATTCTCATAATAAAATGTTAGACTGGAGAGAATTGAGGGATTTACTGCAGAGTGGATGGTACTTAACGCTTTGGGGCCCTCACCTTCAGAGACCCTTCCAAGAGTCTGTGTTTATAGRTCAGAAAAAGGAAGATATTTATAGACTATAGTCAGCCCCAAATTGCCTCTTTCTATGCTGACTTTCCCTTCTCTCTGACAAATGAAAACAGAGAGCTTTTGGGGGATTTGCTTAAGGGAGAATAGAGCCGGAGATAGGTTTCATTTGAGTTTAGTGGATTATATTTTTTGTGGTTTGCAGCAACTCCATCTATTTTTAATTATTGCTAGCCATGTGGGTGTAGGAATGCCTTTAGGAATGCTCCTACAGCTCATTATGTCAATTCACTTACTGAGAGGACATGGAGACCTAAGACAAAGGTCACATCATATAATATGAATGTGTCTAGTGGGCTSTGGCCTGGGGAGTATTAGATGCTAAAAACAAGGTTTGAAATGTACAGAGGTGGTCTATGGGAATTTCTTCCAAATCTTACATCTTTTATATAAAATAAGCTAAATAGTTTCCCCAAATTTGACAAACCCTAAACAACACTATCAATAATGAGTTGCAGAGTTGACAGAACACGTTCTAATTCACCAATAATAAAAAAGAAAAAAAAATTGGGCCAAACACACTAGAGAAGAGGCAGAATTAGTTTTATATATTTTTCCTATAGAAAATTGTGTTACAAAAAAATGAAGAGACAAGAATATGCATCCATACAGCATTAGAGGGAAATATCAGGGCTGTGCTAGGCTGTTAACTACATGACTGCTGCTTTTATAGATTTTGTAATATATGTGGTATTTTTCAGAGCTCTACAACTTTCTCATTTCAAATGAATATTCACTTATTTTGTGTTCTTTTTCTTAAAGAGGGCTGAAAAAATTACATTTCAGGTCCCACAAAACCCGGATCATCCCTGCATAAGAGTTTTTAAGTATTTAGAAATAAAAAAAAAACAATGTTTTCCTTTTGGTTAAGGATTCTTAATGATACAGTCAAACGAGACTCCARAATCTGACCTCTGAAACAGAATTGGTAGCTCTATGGTGTCGAGAAACTGAGAACAGTGACAGGCACACAGATTCATCKCCAAGCCCTCAGCAGGGAGGAAATCTGGGTGGAATCTGGCACCTAGTCTGGATTTCTGTTTCCGAAAAGAATCTACTGAAATGACCTGGTGGAGCTTTTATCTAATTTAAAAGAGCAAAGACTATGAAGCTTTTCAGAGAAGTGTGAAATACTGAATTTGGGGTATCTAGGTTCAGTTCATCTAGTTTGGGTTTTCCCAAATATAAAGGAAAAGTTAAGACAAGGTCGAGACTGTGGATGATGATGAAGATGATACTCTCCTGTCTTTCTGTCYCTCCCTGTCCTCTGTCAGTGAGTGGATATTGGGCTGGAACAAGAGATGTTTTGGAGAGATCCTATATGGTCAATGCAGCCAGTGACCCCTTATGTGATCTTTTAAAAAAAATCTTTTTTTTTAGTTGTAGATGGACACAATATTTTTATTTATTTATTTTTATATGGTGCTGAGAATGGAACCCAGTGCYTCACACATGCACTCTACCACTGAGCTACAGCCACAGCCCCAACCCCCGCACACGTGATTTTATAACAGTTTATCTCCCTTTAAAACAGCAGAAAAGATTAATGTGCTGGCATCATCATTCATAAGCAAGTTGGGCCACTGTCATCATCCCTTCTCTAAAAAGAAGGAKTTTCCATGCAAATATCACCACTTAATCCATCAATCCACTCACTAGTAATCCTGCTTGRCTGATCATTTTGTATGCCCCGAGAAAAGATAAATTTGCCCTTTTGTATCCCAAATACAGCAAAAAAAAAAAAAATTAGTAATCATATTTTATTCATGAGCCTACAATTTAGCTCCAAGAACAATAATAAAAATGATCAGAAAACCTCCTCTATTTGTTGGACTAACAATCCCCATAGCAAGAGATACAGGTTGCAGAAAAACTCTTTCTGTCCTCTCCAAGYTCCCAATTCTGAAAGAGTCTGGGGCTTAGTACAATTAATATGACTTTTCTTTTGAGCTAAAATAATGGGTCATATTGCATAATAGCATTACGTTATATAGAAATTAAAGGCATGTGGAAGCCTTTAAATAGTTTCTAGTGCTTGACATCCTGGAATTTGTTTCAGTGTGACCAGAGCCAGAGTATGGTCTGATCCAGACAAGTGCACCGTCCTGAAATTCCAGCAGTTCTGAAAACAATGAGCCACTGTATGAATTATCAAGTAACTTTTTAGTTAACTTCCAGGGTTCTTTTAGGATTCAGTGATAAAGTCTRTAATCCGGAAAAACGATGCATTCCACAGGAGAAAACAACAGTGGATTGTGGCTGTGAGAGGTAGCAGGAAAATGCAATTTGATGCTGGCTTGCTTAAACAAAGATATTTCCCAAAGACTATCAAATATTCTTGGTGTGAATTCTCTGGGATCTTATCTTTCCTTGCATTTTTTTTCTTTTTCATTACTGGGCAGAATRAATTTGAAAAATCAATTTATCATGGTGATGAATACACACAGACATAAGGAGCTGGTTTGGTAAAGCAAATAGCCCTATTTTTTGACGCTGCTTTGAAGCTAAACCTCAAGGTATGTAATTTATAAAGAAGTTATATTTCAGAGGAAGAGAAGTCTGCTTCAGTTCCAGTCCAACTCAACTCCTCTTTATCTATCCAAAGGAAGAAAAAATTAAGGATTGATGGCATTTTTGATGTTCATTCCTTTCTGTTTCATTAGAGACGTTAAAGGAACAAGATGAAAGGCTTTTTCTGGGAAAAATTTCTCCCTTGGGTCTCATGTCCTGGACACTCTCACCCAAACCTTCCTGAACCCAGAGTGCACTATTTTGTCATGAGATCATGAATTGTACTTGCTTTGCATTGTTTTCAGCATATTTCAAGATATTACCAGCTTTTCTCTATGCTTGGTAAAGCCAAATGACCCTTCCTTTTCCCTAAAAGACCAACCCAAAGCTGTAGTCTATGGGATTTCCCTCATGTGGCCACTGGATCTCTCAGTTTAGTAGGACCTGGTGCTTGGACTGGTCTATGAAGGGACACTCACTACCTCCACTCTCATTTTACTCCACCTTTTTCCATGTCAATCTTGATCTGTTCCTCGAGGTCTTCTGGTGACACATAAAAGTCCTCTTCTGACATTGATGATTTGGGCCGGCAGCGCCCACAACAACAGTTGCAGCAGCAGCACAGGCAGCAACAGAAATAGCAGCCAGTCAAAAGGCCAATGATGATGAATAGGGCCTAGGGGACACAGAAACCAAGCACAATAGGGGTGAGACCTGGTGGAGACGGAGCACAATCCCAGAACCCAAGACGGCACCCTCAAGAGACCTGAAGATATCACAGCGGATACCACAATGGCATGTCCACCCTCATCCTCACCTCCTGAAGAAAACCTCTTTTGGTAATATCTTTRAAAAGCTGGTAATATCTTTAAATATGCTGATAACAATGCAAAAAATCTTTTCCTCATAAAGTTTTGCCTAGTAAGTTCGACCCAGAGGAAATGCCGTGTGCATGAGTAGAGCCAGAGTGCTTTCACTAAACTCATCCTTATCACAGGGCAGCGACACCTGGGTTAAAGTGTCCCCCCAGATTCAAGTGCATCTAAAGCCAATTAGCATTCCTCAGCCGAGCCCACTCCTGCCAGCTAGCTCCTTTCTTTCATTYCAGAGTACCAGCCTGATGCTTTCAGGTGGGATCTGTATTTCCCTTCCTAATTCAGTGAAAGAAAATAGCAATCAGAATATTACCCAGCATGAAACCAGGCTTTTTGGAGATTTGGTTTTTAAAAGTTATTATTTATTACAATTTATATGTATGTGAGCTGTCCACAGACTATAYCAATGGAGTATATGGGTAGTCTATATGTAAATAGAATTTTTTTCTTTTTAGTGCTGTGGATGGAATCCAGGATCTCTTTGCCACTGAGCTGCATTGCCAGACCTTTTTATTTGTTATTTAGAGACAGGGTCTCTCTGAGTTGCTGAGGCTGACTTCAAACTTGCAATCCTCCTGCTTCAGCCTCCTGAGTCACTGGGATTACAGGAGTGTGCCACTTGGCTATAAATAAATATACTTTTATCAGAAGATAAGGATAATAAAATTCATAAACAAACATGAATTAGCACCAAMCATACATATATTAGGGATTCCTAGGAGATCAAACAAAATTTACTACATAAAAGTTAATTCCGACTTCACTAAGTCCTTACAAAATTGACTTTTGCTTGGCCAGATGTCCATTTCTCTCCCACTTCCTGTTCTCCACTACTTCCTTCCTTCTTCACTACCTCATAGCAGGCTCCATGTGAGCCTGTGACACAATCACTCCTCATCCTCTCCAGTACTTTGTTTGCTGATGTAGCCCAAGCTATAGATAGGACAAATTTAGCCTATCATAATTTATTAAACAGTTGTCACACTAATAAATTATTTTTTGTTTTGAGCAATGAGTCAGTTCTTAGTCACTATAGGGGGGGCGGGAGGCCAGTCAGAATTAACCTGAAGCTCCAAATTCAAATATCATTAATGTCTAGCAGTATTTTAAGTCAGAACAGATTTTATAATTAACTGATGAACTAAAGCAAACAGGATCCCCAGATAATAGCTCTCGGTAGAAGAGATGTGTCATTTTATTTACAAGAGTTTCATGGTAGTAAGCTTAGTCTTTCTTTGAGATAAAGTCTAAAAGAGGGAAGAATACTGGGTTCTTCCAGAAAGTTGCTTTTGAAGGAAAAAAAATCTGATTTACCTTTGCCCACCAGCTTGACAGCATGAAATAGGTATTGACGTTTTCATCTCCAAATTGTTCGGCCACGTAGAGTCCCAGTGATCCATACTTATCATATATGTTTCTCTTGGATATGTCTGTAAGTATGGTGTGGGCATTGTTGATTTCTTTAAACTTCTCAGCAGAAGCTGGATCATCTGGATTCTTGTCTGGATGGTGTCTCAGGGCCAATTTTCTTTTAAAGTAAAAAAAACAAAATGTAAGCAGTGTTATTTGAAAAACATTACAAAGACATTTTGGAAAGGTAGGGTTCATTTGTCCATCTTTTATTTGTGTAAGTCCTGTGAAATGTCAGTTTCACAATAGTGGTGATTTACCAAGAAATGGGTTTTCATTAAATGGTATCTCTGCTTCCTGATATGTAAAAACAATCATATATTATTTCTCTCCTCACATCCTCGAGGGAGTTCTCAATAGTGACACAACTGTTAAGTCACAACTTGCTATGGACAAGTGTGTGAAGTCGATCTTTACCTGGAAGCCGCTCCATAGCCCACCCCAACACAGAGAGGCCCTTAAGGGTTCTAGCAGCAGGTTCTAGTTTACACTCACATTCCATTTAGAACCAGAGGAGTTTTCCAGAAGGACAGAACCTCAGGTCACATATTCTAAAAGTTAAATTCAAGTATAAAAGTAGAAGACCCTGAATTAACACTCCCTTGAACACTTTTGATGACCCCTTCTCAGATCACTGATAAGTCTTAACTCATTTTTGACTTCCTAAACAAACACTATGGCTTCCTTTGTTTTCYAGTGTATATTTAACCCCTTTCCAATTATGTCTTCCCACTTCAAACACTCTGTAGACATTTGCTGTGGGTATAGGGCCCTCTTTCCCCTGTGGATCCTAAAGTAGATCCTGGGAAGTGTGGGACATCCTCTGTGTTCAGAGTGGATTGGGGATGTTCTTTTCTCTTTATACTTAGGTGTAAGAGTGGATGTGAGAAGTCAGCTGTGCCAGACTCCTACTGGTGGCCATTTCTCTCACTTGCCCCTGAAAATGATTTAAATAATACTTAAAATAACATTCAAAATTTAGTCTGAACTATTTTTTTTTCACTAAAAACTCAATTTTATGACTCCTGTTTAGAAATTCCCCATGACTTTTCTTCCTACTGTGCCCACCGTAGGTATTTGTAGTCATAATAAACTTCTAYTTATTGTATTATTTTAGGTAGAATGTTTCATTTTAATGCAGAGATAAAAGTCCAGAAGTAGAGCATAAAAGTAAGTATAGCTTGAAAGCCAATCTATATGGTACACTGAACAAGTCACCCGTTTTAGGGATTAAAGTTAGGGGTTACTGGTTAAGAAGTAGGTAAGTACACTCATACATTGCTGGTGGACTGCAAATTGGTGCAGTCACTCTGGAAAGCAGTATGGAGATTCCTTAGAAAACTTGGAATGGAACCACCATTTGACCCAGCTATCCCACTCCTTGGTTTATACCCAAAGGACTTAAAATCAGCATACTATAGTAACGCAGCCAAATCAATGTTTATAGCAGCTCAGTTCACAATAGCTAAGCAATCTACATGCCCTTCAACAGATGAATGGATAGAGAAAATGTGGTATATATACAATGAATTATTACTCAGCCATAAAGAAGAATGAAATCATGACATTTTTTGGTAAATGTATGGAACTAGAAACTGTCATGTCAAATGAAATAAGCCAGTTTCAAAAAACCAAAAGCTGAATGTTCTCTCTGATATGTGGATGCTAACACACAATAGGGGTTGGGGGTGAGGGAAGAAAAGAAGTTATTGGATTAGACAAAGGGAATGAAAGTAAGAGAGGAGGTGATGAGAATAGGAAAGAGCATAGAATGAATCAGACATAACTTTCCTATGTTCATATATGAATACATAACCAGTGTAATTATACATCATGTTCAACCACAAAAATGAGAGCCTAATTAGAATAAGTTATACTCAATGTATGTATAATATGTCAACATACATGCTACTCTCATGTATATCTAAAAAGAACAAATGAAAAAAAGAAGTAGGTAAATATTTAGGCAGTGCAGCATTAAGTTGCTTAAAATGTACAAAAATCCTTAGAAGTATAAATCATGATGTCTAATACATTCTAACTCTGAACTCAGACTAAATAAAAAAAACAAACATGACAGCTCATTTCAAATTTGTTTAGTACAAACATTTTTCAGCCTTTATTTCGAGAAATGTTTAGAGTACCTTTAAATTATTATAAATGTGAACATTAGTGTCAATGTTTCTTATGCACACAAAATTTATACTGCAACCTCTGGAAATTGCACAAAATGCCTATTTTGTCATTTTTAACCTTTTGCAATGTTTATTACATGCCATCACTTTTAAACACATTAGAAATATCAATTCATTAATTCTCACAACAACTCTATGAGATAGGTATTATAATTATCCCTTTTTTTCCAAATTCTTTTTTTATTTCTTACATACATGAAGAAATAAAAATGAAGTAGTGCAATGCATTACAATCATAATTATTCATTCACAACACCATTTTTCGTAACTCTGTATATAAAGTGTGTTCACTCCAAATTATGTCATTTTACAGAGGATATTTAGGCACTGGGAGGCTGAATATTGCTCAATGGCTACACAGCTAATAATTAGAACTAGGCTTTGAACACAAGCAATCCAACTCTGACCACAAGCTCTTTACCACCACTATGATTCTCTGATGTTGATATTTTTTTAATTTCAAAAGTAAGGAACACAGAATGCATAGTAGATCATTGTAAGTATTTTGGCTTTAATCTGGTGACATGGGAGAGGACTTTGTAGTTTTTCAAGAAGAGCAATAGTTTTTGAAGGATCACTTAGTATGGTAGAAGGCAAAGATGAATGTGAAGAAACTGTTTTTGGAGATGCGTTATAGTGATCTAGGCAAAAGGTTTGTGGTGGTTTGAAGAAGTGTGGTAGTAGAGGACATGGTGAGAAGTGCTGGATTTGGGATATATTTGAGGAATAGCTGATAAACTGAATGTGGGGCAGGAAAGAAAAAGATGAATGATGATGGCAGCAAAGTTTTGAGCACAGCAATTGGAAATCACTATTTTTTTT